AGAGATTACTTAGAAATAAAATATTTTTTTAAAAAAATAGCACGAATACCATTTAGGCACCAAGGAACTCTCTTAAGCAGACACCCTGAGGATAGAGGGGGCCTCGAAGAGGGTAACAAGAGAAAAGCAAGCAAATATCCAAGATACGGCTTTAAAAGGGTAGGCAGCTGCCTGACAGTGGGAGCCTTATAGATCTTGTTCAAGATCTTGGATTTCATCCTAAGTGTGGTGGGAAGCCGCAGGAGATTTTTAGCAGAGGATGACATAACCAGAACTGTGGATTTTGAAAGCTCTTTTGTTATAATGTGGAAAGCAATTTGGAAAAGTATTTTTAAAAAGCAAGTAGGCAAGGGGAGTAGTAGGGGAAAATGTATTAGGGTGATTGCCTAGCGAGCAAGGTATTTTCCCTTTGCCAGAACATCCCTACTCCTGTTGACACACCATTTTCCTCCCTTCAAGATGGAGAGAGAAAACAGTTTCTCCTGCAGAGAGTAGCTGTGTTCTCTGGGACACCCTGTATCCCGCAGCCGTTGGAGGCATTGCACGGGGAAAGGGCTTTGGAAGGGATGCGGTCTTATGAACCCCGGGGAGGGTAGGGGAAAGCATGTTATCAACGTCCATCAGCCACTCCAGCAGGTGATAAACTATCAAAAATAGCTTCCTGTTGCTGTTACAGATGTTATGACTTCTTTTATCACCGTTCTGATCTCCCCTCAGATCCTGCGTTTGGGGCTGGAGTCCGTCGAGCTCAAAGTAGAAAGAGGAGGGCCATATCATGTGGGGTTTAGCAGACGCGCCCTGGACGGGGGACCCTGTGAGGAACCCATTCTCAGTGGCCTCGGGCAGGAGCAGGCTAAGTGCCCTTGTGGGTGAATCCTCAGCTTCTCTTCGGCAGGTGTCTGCCGTCAGGTTAGGGGTGTGTGAGCTGCTGGTGTATCCCGGGCACATGGAACAGAGCGCTTGGCTTTAGTCCCTCTCTTCTCCATGCCACCAACCTACTAAAGCACAGGGGCAGAAGGAGTTCTGGCCGCCCAGGACACAGAGACCCTCAATAATTCGTACTTGGCTCCGTAAAGCCAAGTCATGGGTGATCTAGTCAAAACTCCCTCCAATTCTGTATGAGGAAAATGCAGTCCAGAGAAGTCAAATGCCTCGGATCTCTAGGGCACACGGATTTTCTGCGGTTGCTTCACTGTCTAGTGAAAATGCACACACAGAGGACCCCGAATACGTCCCGTTCAAAGATGCTTAATAGTGACACAGCACTCTGAGCCTCGGAGTGGCATCATGGAAGGTTCTGGTCCAAAAGCGGTCCACACAGAAGCACAGAGCTGTGTGAAGCTTACACAGCTCTGGCTGCCGCCGTAGCTACACCAGGTTCACGCCCAAGGGTAATCGCAGAGTCAAGACTCACCTTGATCCCCGTAAGTTAACTGTAGCTCAAGTTAATTACTTAGAGGTCGCGGCAGAGACGGGAGCGGAGAGGAGTGTTTTTGACACTGGCAGGTGAACTGGGAAGGTGTGGAGAGCCTCATTAGGAAATCACTCTTGTGGGCTCTTCAATCTTGACTGATAACAGGGCTCTATGTTCTTAACACAACTCATGCAAAAGGGAAGAAAACGGCAGCTCCAGCCACAGCTGTATTTCCACAGTGAGCCAAGGATACATCAAGGACCATAAAACACTGAGCAGGACCCAGCCTAAGGGAAGGTTTTCTAACCTTTTTAGAGAATATAAAGATAGATCACTGCCATTTGTTGTTTACCCCAGAAAGGAGCTTCTGTTAAGTGTTTTGCCTATTTATTTGTATTCTTTAACTTTAAACAAACTTATGAGTTTTGTTTTGTTTTGTTTTTTCAAAAAATTGGGTATATATATATAATTTAAAAGATTTTATTTACTTATTTGACAGAGATCACAAGTAGGCAGAGAGGCAGGCAGAGAAAGAGGAAAGGAAGCAGACTCCCCGCTGAGCAGAGAGCCTGATGTGGGGCTCGATCCCAGGACCCTGGGATCATGACCTGAGCCGAAGGCAGCTGCTTAACCCACTGAGCCGCCCAGGAGCCCCAATTGGGTATATATTATTAACCCAATTTTACAAGTGAAAAAGCTGAGGATCAGAGAGGTCAAACAACTTCCCTCAAGTCACACAGCTACCAAGTAGTGTAACAGGGTTTAAATCTGAATATATCTGATTCTGAAGCCATGATTCTACAGTGATTAATTTGTCGTGAACGGGGAGGTGACATCCCAGAGACCTATAAAATTCTGCTTTCTTTGTTTGACAGTAAGATCATTTCACCCTCATGTCTTCTCCACTACCAAATCTCAGGGGGTTTAGCTAGTGACCTACCAAAAGCCTGCGATTGACCTTCCTTGCCTTCCTGGTATGATCACAGAAACCGCAACAAGCGTCTTAGGTTGGTGTCATTTAAGGTTTAACGGCAAAGAAATTGTCCTTGCAAAATGGTCCTCATTCGTTGCCCTGTATCCCATCCACGATCCCTTAATTTAGGGCCACATTACACACAGATTCAAAGATGGGCCAGGCTGGAAGGGACCTTTGCCAATATCTAGAGACCTCCTTCTTCATTTTCTAGAGGAAGAGCAGGAGTTACCTGATGGGAAAGTGGGTTGTCAGAACTCATGCAGCAAGTGAATGCTAGAGGTGGGACTCGAACCCAGTCCTCTTGACTCCCCTACCAATGCTCTTTCCATGCTAGCAGGCCTTGTGCGTATTTGTGGTATTTAAATGTGAGTTCACATGGAGATAAAGAAACTACTAATCTCCTCCATCTACGTAAACCGTCTGCAGAGAGGAGCGGGGTAGAGCCCTGCAGAGAAAGATAGAAAGTGCTATCTGCTGCTTCACTCCACTCTCCGCAACTGAGCTAGATGATAATCTCTGAGCAGCTGGCCCCCGCCCAGTTGGAAATGGTGAAACATGTGTGACTGACCTCCAATGACCGAGAAGCTTCTGGGTGGGGCTGGCAGGGGTGGGGGGAGGGGTTCGGTGGGGACGCTGTTTCTATTAGGACGTTGCTGAAACACAAGCTGGGGTCAGACGTTGCTTGTGGTCCCATGGTAAGTAGCCTCTGGGGAGGTGGATTTTTAAATTAGTTGCAAGAGTGTGTGTCTGTGAACATAGAGAGCAGAGGTCTAGGAGGGGATTCTCTGCCTATGTGCTGGGATTGCAGAGCGTGGAATTCACTTGCATTCGGCTTGGAGTGGACCTAAGATTGAACGGTTTGTACTTGATGGACATTAGTCTCTTGTTCCCGAGACCTAAGATGTGTGTGCAGTAACAGCCGTGGCAATCAGAGCTCCAGCTAGAAGCTGCGTAGACCTTAGATCCAGACAGAGCTAGATCCAAGGAACTCTGCTAAACCTATGTGAGCCTCAGTTTCTCCATCTGTAAAATGGGTGTACAACCACCCACCTTCTACCGTTGCTCTGAGGATAACAGACAAGTAGTACATTTGGTGCCTAGTGAAGCGTTCCATCAATAATAGCTATTAATTAATCATTCTTGTAAAGTCGATGGGGAACTCGATCCCAGAGAATGTCTCCCTGCAGGAGTACTGTCTTTAAGATTTGTTCCGAGTTGCAAAAGACTGGCATATGTGGAGGGAAGGGACTGGGGTGGCAATTTGAAGACGTTATGAGTGGGAGTCAGAGACTGCACACCGTCACAAGGAAAGTTGGAACAATGGCAAAGAGTGATACGTGACCCTTACGTAGAGTTTATCCTGCACCCAGAACCGTCCTAAGAAGCTTTACATAGACAAATTCATTTTGTCCACACAGCGACCCTGAAGATGCTGGTGCTATTAACAGCTTCTCTTACAGTTAAGGCAACTGAGGCACAGAGGTGTTAAGTGACTTGACTGAAGTCAAACAGGGAAAGAAAAGCTTCTGGAGAACGTCAGCGCCCAAGAGCGTACTTAGAGCCGTCCTCTGGGAGTTCAGGAGGCGCAGGGCTCACGAGTGCCCGTGAGGCGCTCACAGAGGACTTGGTGATGGGCCAACCTGTTTCTCACTCTGTATACTGACCGTGTTGTTTGAGCTGTGGCAACTCTGCTCAAAACGATACAGTGAGTGGGATAGGCTGTGCAATTGGCAGGACCCAGGGCAAATGAAAATCTGGGGTTCCTTGTTAAAAAATGATTAAGGATCTAGAGATGGCAAGAGCGGAGTCATAAACCAATCCAGGGGCCCTCGCCCGACTAGACTACATAGGTGGCAGGCCCTGAGACCCAACTGTGAGGCAGGAACAGTAGAAGCTTCCACAGTCTCACTTACCCCCTGTGATAAACTCTAGGAGGGAGACATTTGACTTCCCAATTAGCAGAGGGGAAACTGAGACTCAGGGACATTGAGTGGCTCCTCCAAGGTTAAATAGTGTTTCTTCTAGATAAATGGCTTGAATTGCGGTATGTACAGAATGTGACAAAACGTGACAGAATGATTTGGCCCTTTCAGTTTACTGGGAGCTTTGTGAGGCCAGCAAAACAAATCTATGAATACTGCTGAAGTTGCTTGAGATTCTCCAGGTACTTGCTGATTTAGGCTTAGAACTAAGTTGCATTCAGGTTTCATTGATCTCAAGTAATTGCTGATAGAAAATGCCTTCCCCCAGACTACGAATTCGAGATTTTGAGTAATCTGCTGCTTTCTTAAAACTTGGCTGTGCCTGTCCCTATAAATGTGTATTACCAGAGATGCGGCAAATCTGGTGAAACTCAGACTTGCTATTTCTGGTTGACTTGAGTCTCTCATCATTTATGTCCATGTTACACTCAGGGAATTCTAGAACAACACCACATCGGAACTGGATCTATTTAGCACACCACCCCCCTCGGTTTTCGACAGAGAAACTGAGGCTCAGAAAGAAGTGACATGTCCGAGGCAGCTGAATTTGCGAAGTCGCCAAGCTGGAGAGTTGGTCAGGGTTCTCCTTTCTCATTCCAGATTATGTCCCAGCCTCCTGGGGCGAGACCCCTGCCATGGTAACCAGCGCTGGAGGGAATCCAGAGAAGAGATTTCTGATGCCCAGGACAAAGGTGATGCCCTAACTCTCTGTTGTCCCCTTTCCCATGGTGTCTCGCAGACCTCACTCCTCCCTTCTCCCTGTTGGATACTTTGACCTTCTCTGTCCGCTGGTGCGTAGACACGGCAATAGTCATGGGAGTAGGGACTGTTTAGGACTGAGGACTTCCCAGGACCATATGGCTTCGTATCTTCGGTTGCTTATAACTCTCACTTAAAAATCATGGGTGAGGGGCACCTGGGTGGCTCAGTGGGTTAAAGCCTCTGCCTTCAGTTCAGGTCATGATACCAGGGTCCTGGGATCGAGCCCCCCATTGGGCTCTCTGCTCAGCATGGAGCCTGCTTCTACTCACCACCCACACCTGCCTCTCTGCCTACTTGTGATCTCTAATAAATAAATAAAATCTCTAAAAAAAAATTTTTAAAAGTAAAAATCATGGGGGAGCCCTGTTTTCTTACAGGGCCTGTTAGAAATGGGTGCATTGTAATAGGTAAGCCCGTTTGTGTTCAATCCTCTGTTTGGCTCTGAGGATCCCTCCCTGTTTAGCACCTCTATATGCAGCACTTGACTAACCTTCTTAAATATTGTGTGCAGTACAGTGAAGGCTCTGGCCCCAAAATAGGGTTTGAATTCTGTCCTCTCCGTGGGGGATTAAAGTCCGGTTTTCTCGTATGTAAAATTGGGACAACAACAGTAGCTACCTTGTAAGTTTGTTATTCTGATGTTTAAGCAAGATAATTTATAGGGCCATCTGGCTGGCTCATCAGTAGAGCTCGTGACTCTCAATCTGGGATCCTGAGTTCGAGCCCCACATTGGGCACAGAGCCTCCTTTAAAAAAATTCAAAAAATAAAAAATAGTAAGAAAATTTAGGCAAAGTGTTTTGCATGATGCTAGCATATAACAAGCCCCCACAATGTGTGTGAGTTAAGAAAATGAAACAGGCACTGTCCCCATTTTTCAGATAGAACACTGAGGCCCAGGGAGAGAAAGCAACTCATAGCCAGGAAGGTCAGAGCAGAAATTCCAAACCAAAGCCATCTGGCCACCAAGTCCCTACTCCTCACCGTCTTCCTGTACCTACCCGTAAGGCTGCCTTACAGTGAATCCAGCTTTCTCACACAGTATCTTATTTACGTGCGGCCAAATCTGTGTGGAAGCCTGCCAAAGACAGAGGCTTCCCCTGCAGTCAGGGCTGACAGATGCATTTCGCTGGACTGCCCTGTCCCTCCTTCTCCATCATCCATTGCCTGTTCTTCGAAGTTCCCACTCTGACTCCTCTCTGAGTGTTCTGTGGAATGGGGATCAATTTTTCCTCCAAGACAGTACATATTACAGACATCGTGCCTTCATCCAACTTTGTTGTGACGTCTCTTCTGCTTTTCGATTTTTTGTATGTTAATGTCTTGGTTTTTTCAGGTACAATGAGAGCTTTTGAATGTTCAGATGGCGTTCTCCCTTCCATCCTGTCCATCAGACTATTTCACACAGAGCCACACACCTAGACCACTCAGTATATATTTAATTGGAACTCACACATGTAGCTGAATATCTCAATGTTTTATTAACATAGTAAGATACAATTTATGTAAATAGATTTTTTATGTAGATAAATTTAGTACTAGACTAATTGAGGGACTCAGAGTTTCTGGGCTTATTTCAATATTCTTAAAGTATTTTTTTTCCTGGGGCGCCTTGGTGGCTCAGCCGTTAAGCATATGCCTTCGGCTCAGGTCATGATCTCAGGGTCCCGGGATGGAGCCCCACTTCCAGCTCCCTGCTTAGCAGGAAGCCTGCTTCTCCCTCTCCCACTCCCTCTGCTTGTGTTCCCTCTCTCGCTGTGTCTCTCTCTGTCAAATAAATAAATGTAAGTAAAATCTTTTTTTAAAAAGTATTCTTTTTCTGATTAGAAAAAAGATATGTTAACTACAGAAAACTTTGACAGTGACAGATAGCATAAAGAGTTAAACACCACCCACAATACCCAGTTTTGTTAACATTTAGGTGTGTTTTCTTCTATTTCCCCTTTTCGAACAAAGTACATTTAAATGAAATCCCTGATTCAATTTCCTTAAGTTTATATTTGTGAACAAATCTATATTTGATATGCAAAATTACTGTCAATGAACTATTCTGGATTTGATGAACCGAATCAGGTGACTGGGGGCTATTACTAAACTAATGTAAAAGACAAAAGAGTTGAGTGACCCAAAATGTTCTTTTTTGTGCAAGGTTTTATTCTTTTAATATTTTTAATACGTTTTGTATGTGGCTAAATATAAGTGCATGATATATCTTCATGGAACAGACTCCTTCCCCAGATTAATTTTTTCTCAATGTAATTTTAAATGTTGGTGTAACACTCCATTCTGTACCTTCGCTGTGATTTATTTAATCTTTGTTTTTCAATGAAATAGTTTCCCATTTTCGCTTTTATAATTAGTAGCGGGTAAGGCTACCTTGTAACAACAGCTTTGGTCCCATTCCGGATTGTTTATAAATTGTTCCATACCTTTTACCCATTTACCAATTGGGGGTGTAAGGGTTTTTCTTAAGAATTTTTGGGAAAAAAAAAATCTAAACCTTTTAAAGTTATATATAGCACACGCTCGTTCTGGTGTTTTTATCTATTTGCCTTTAAATTTTGTTTATTTGACTTAAACATATGAAGTTTTAATATTTTCGAGTCAAATCTATTTTTCCTGTTGCTTTGTGATTTCTTCCATTGCATATAAGCTGAAAAAGTTTTCTCTCATGTAGGATTTAAGAACTATTACTGAATATGTGAACATCCAATCCATTTCCTTCTACTTAATGTCTACTTGAAAATATTTACTTCTTTAATTCCTTTGGAATTATTTTGTTACATCCCATCTGGATGCAAGCTACTTTTTGTTTTTCTTATAGGTAGCTAATTCATTATTCTGTGCATGACATTTCTTAAATGACACGTTCCTTTCCTCCCACTGCTTTGTGAGCCACTTTTGTGATTTATTTATTATACATCCTAGCAAATTTTTTCAAGTCTACACCACCCTTTAAAAGTGGTATGTTAGGAGGTTCCTGGGTGGTTCAGGCCTTAGGCGTCTGCCTTCGGCTCAGGTCATGATCCCAGGGTACTGGGATAGAGCCCCGTGTTGGGCCCCATGCTCAGCGTGAAGCCGCCTTCTCTCTCCCCCACTCCCTCTACTTCTGTTCCCTCTCTTGCTATCTCTCTCTCTTTCTGTCAGATAAATAAATAAAATCTTTTAAAAATAAAAAAAAAATTTAAAAAGTGGTATGTCAGGGGGCATCCGGGAGATGCGATCGGCTGAGCGACCGACTCTTGGTTTGGGCTCAGGTCGTGATCTCAGGGTGGCGAGATGGAGCTCCATGAGTTTCTCTCTCTCTCTCTGTTCCCCCTGCGCTCTCTTTCTCTCTCTCTCTCACTCAAATAAATAAATAAATCTTTAAAAAAAAAAAAGTGGTATGTCAGGAACCTGCCTGGTCACAATTCCTTTTCACATATGTTTTAGCTCTTCTCAACTGTTATTTTTCCCCCTGGGGAAATTTGAGATTTGATTTGGAGTTGTAAAAAATTCTCACTGTAGTTTTGATTGGAGTTATTCAGAACCAACAAATTCATTTCAAAGTGATCTTTTTCAGTCTTCTGGATTCCCGATCTGAAATATCATGTGTCCATTAGTTTATGTCTTTTTTAATTTTTAATGTTTTTTTAGAAGATTTTATTTTTAAGTTTCTACACCCAACGTGGGGCTCAAACTTACAGCCCTGAGCTTAAGAGTCTTGTGTTCCCCTGAATGAGCCAGCCGGATGCCCCAATTTTTAGATATCTCAGTACATTTTAATTACTTTTTTCAAATTATTCTTCAAATTATTCTCAGCTCTATCTGGTGCGATGGCTGCTGAGGCTCCTGGTTCTCCCTCCCTGCAATTCCATTTCCTAACTGGTTATTGCTGATATAATAGGGAGAAGAACTGATAATTTTAGAATATTATCGTGCCCTCAGCACTTTCTCAAGTACTCTCATCAATCCCACTACTTTTCCAATCAGTTCTTTGGGGATTTCTAGGTATATAATCACGTCTTTTGCAAATAAGGATGAATTTGACTTGCCTTTGCCCCAAACCATGACTTTATTGCTTTCATGTATTAGTTAATAGCTCAGCTCCAGCATGAGCCTGCCTGGGCACCAAGCCCTGTTAACTCTTCTTATCGTCTTGAGCAAGTTATTTAACCTCTCCTTGTCTTCGTTTTGCCCTCTGTAAAACAGAAATAATAATTATACCTGAATTTTTAAAAAAAAAGAAAAGGAAAAGGAAAACATAGTACCTCCCTCTTCGGTGGCTGTGAGAATTAGACAAATGATATATAGAAAAGTGTCCCCAAGCCTGCCCAGTAACTATTCCAGACCCTTATGATTATTGGAGGTTGGAGGCTGGAGGGACTTCCAACTCCCCAGAGTTATAATTGCGAAGATTAATTTTTTAAAATGGTTACAGCAGACACCCTTGTTCTCAAATAACCGCTACAACATTTTACCGCTTGGTAAGATGTTGATTATTGGTATAGAAGAGATAGTCTTTATTATGGCAAGAAATAAGTCTCATATTCTTATTTTATTAACTTATGAAAAAAGAAAACGAGTATCTGACTTCATCCGACGATGGTTTTTGGCATATTATGGAGATCAGCAAAACTCCATTTACTGATGCTCTCTTCATATTCTGTAACAGGCAGTTCCCTGTAATGATTGAGAGCTGAGCTTGGTTTGCTGTCCGGCTCTTCCAGCAGCGGGGGAGGGGTTGTGGGGAAGAGGGGTGGGGACCAGGGGAAATTGTTCACCCTTCCCAAGCCTTTTATGGTCCCGTTTAGGAAATCGGGATCATGTCTATTCTTGCAGAGCGAGAGCACAGAAGAGCATGGTAAATACTCAACACCAGTTTTCATTATTGTCATAGTTGACTTCCTGGATGTCCCTGGAGTAACTTCTTGATATTATCTTATATTTACTTCTGCATTCATAAGTGACAGGATCTGGCAGAGTTTTCCATCTTTTTCTGTGCCCTGGATCTGTATAATTGCACGGAAATTACATGTTCCTTAGAAGTTTAAAATAACTCATTTTCTAAAACTATTTGGACACAAATTTTGAGTCGATTAATTCCAGTAATGCTTCTATTCTCTGAAGTCATGTATTGCATGCTTATTATCATTATGTGACAAAAGCTATAGTAAGTACTTCACGTAGCTCCTCTTGTCTTCCTCAGAAGCAAGTATCACTTATATTTGACTTACTGAAACCTGAGAACTAGTTATTATTGGTCCCATCATACAGATAAGAAAACTGAGGCTTTGAAGAGTTCAAAACTAGACCAAGTTCATGCAGGAATGAGCGGGGATGTGAACCTAAGCTGACTGCCGTTCTCTGCTTTTCGTGTCTAAATAGCACTCTGCCTCCAGATGTCTTTCTTGTTACTTTGTTTTGATTTTGGTCTCTTTAAGTTTCCTGTGCCTTATGGAATCAATTTTTCTAATTTATATTTTTCTAGGAAATCATTATTTTTATTGAGATTTCATTTAAAAAAAAAACACCTTAGTAGCCTCATAATTTTTGATCTCCTCTGTTTCTGTGGCTTTATTCATTATAAGTTTGGCTTATATACATTACCTCCTTTTTTTGATTATTCCAAAGTGCATTTTAAGTTAGGGGATTAAAGTCTAGTAATGTGCAGGAGAATGGATGATATTATAAAATGGAAACAGATTTTTTTCTTTTAAAATATCCCATTTCCATCCAAATTTGTTTCTCTTCCCCGCTTCCTTACTTCAGTCTTTTTTTTTTTTTTAAGATTTCATTAACTTATTTGGCAGATAGAACACAAGGAAGGGGAGTGGCAGGCAAAGTGAGAAGCAGGCTCCCCACTGAGCAGGGAGGCTGATGTGGGGCTCCATCCCAGGACTCTGGGATCATGACCTGAGCCGAGGGCAGATGCTTAACTGACTGAGCCACCTAGGTGCCCCTTACTTCAGTCTTTAAAAAAACAGAATACTTGGATCTCAAAAGAGCCTGAGGAGGACTTTCAAGTGTCCAGCCATTCATTCGCCAGGGCCTAGGAAGGACGTCTACTTGTCTCAGTTCCACAGTGAGGGAGCGGCAGGGCTGGGAGAAGAAGCTCGGCTCTCACCTCTTTGGCTTTGTTCTCTCTCCACACCATTCAGCTATGCTATGGCTCAAAATTTTAATTTTAAAAATAAGCTAATGAAGATTGCAGGAAAAGTCTTTTTAAGGGATGCCTGGGTGGGTCAGTCAGTTAAGAGTCTGCCTTTTGCTCTGGTCATGATCCCAGGATCCTGGGATCGAGTCCCCCGGCATTGGGTTCTGCTCAGTGGAGACACTGCTTCCTCCTCTCCCTCTGCCTGCTGCTTCCCCTGCTTCTGCTCACTCTCTCTCTCTCTCTCTCTGTCAAAAAAAAAAAAAAAATCAATAAAGCCCTAACTATATTGATAGCAATTATTGATTGTTGCAATCCATGTGGTTTTCATACAAATCTTCTATTGTGCTCTTGTTTTGAACCACTCTTCGTAGAGTGACTCTCTCCAAAGAAAGCATGTCAGGCAGGAACGCAGTGTGTCCTTATTATTTCACGTCAATATTGGGTTGTACCAACTAAAGGCCCCTCTATCATTAGAAAGGGGAAGCAGAAAGATGGGATCCAGGTGTACCCAGAGGTCTTGGGATTTCCAGGCAGGCCTGAAGTGAACAGAGGAAATGCTTCCAGCACTATTCTGGACTGTGGTTGGCAGGTCCTTGGCTGGATGCTACATTAGTGTTGGTTCATGTGTCAAAACTCAGCAGGTCAAAGAGGGCAAGACAGGCCCAATCTTGATAATGGGATGAGCCAGTGGCAAACTCTCTCATGGTCCAGGCACTTTTTTTCACAACCTAATTACCCTAATTTGCTCATTTCCTGGTTATTTGGTATGTGTGTGGGGGGGAGGTGCAAATGAGCAGATGTTTTTGCCCACTGTCTGATCAGCAATCTGCAATTAGACCCCAAGGAACAACCTGTTCATTGTGGTTAGGGGCCATTAGCCACTTAAATAATGACAACTGTCATCATTTTTGTACCTCATCCTGTCCCAGTTCTTATCTTCAAACTATACTCAACATGAGTGCCTGAGTTTCCTCAAATAGACCGGCTCAATTCTAATAGCTCTACTCTAGGCGCCATCTTGGTGAAGTGTTTCAGATCTTCCTCCATTTACAATGGGGTTAGGTCCCAATAATCCCACTGCAAATTGAAAGCGTCCGAAGCCTGAACTGCATTTATTCTACCTAACCTACCAAACATGGCTTCGCCTAGCCCATCTTAAACGAGCTCAGAACACTTACATTAGCCTATGGTTGGGCAAAGATCATCTGACACAGAGCCTATTGTATAATAAAGTGTTTAATATCTCATGTAGCTTATTGAACCCGGCACTGAAAGCAAACAACAGAATGCATATGGGGGTGTGGAAGGGTCGTGAGTGTATCGGTTGTTGACCCTTGTGATTGCAGAGCTGACTGGGACCTGCCCAGCATCAGACAGGGTACCGCACCGTGCCTGGCCAGCCTGCAAACAGATCCAGATTCAAAATTCCAAGCACGATTTCTACTGAATGGGTGTGCTTTCCACCACTGTCACGTCTAAAAATCAAGTCAAATTGTCAAGGGGGCCCAACTATAATCACTGAGTGCTTCCCCCATGCCTGGCATTGTGTACCAGTCTTTAGAAACAGCATAATGCACCAAGCCCACACAAGAACTCGGTGAGGCAGAGGCTGTCATTCTCCCCATCTCACAGGTACAGAGGCTGAGGTACTGAGAAGTTTAATAATTCCCAGTTGGAAGGGAAGAGAACTTGGACTCTATCCAACATCTGTTGGACTTTGCTTGATCCTCGCACAGGTACAGTGTGTCATTTGGCTGGTAAGATGTTTGTAATATATGAAAACGATGGAAGGAAGTAGAGGCATTATAATTTAATATAAAGAGCCAAAAGAAGGTATCAGTTTTAAAACAATGAAACATTGATTTAATGCAGTGATTCTCAACTAGGGGCAAGAGTTGCTGCCTCGGGGTGGGGCTTTTGGAAATGTGTAGGGCCTTTCTCAGTCATTTTGGTTGTCCCATTAACCTATTAGGATGGTGGTCTCCTGGGATGTCGAAATGTCCAGCACAGTGGAAAAGAGTTCTAGACAATAATGAAAGATCTATTGGAGCTAGATCTCAGAAAAAGTGCCCAGAAATACTGATAAAGAGGAATAGTAGTAACTCACAATGAAGCATCAAACTCAAGGGTAGCACACTCAAATGGCTTCAGGGGTCAGTCAGGGACTGAAGAGTACATATCCTTCTCAGGGCCTCCTAATCCAAGTCTTGAAAGGACCTCATTAAACAGAATCACTGAGGCACCAAATTTGGTCTGTGGACCTCCAGTTTGGAGCTTTGTAATGGAGGTTTTTCTGACCTGGAAACATGTTTACGATACATTCAGTGACGCAGAGAAGATGCCGATCAGTACGATGCCGTGTTTAGAAAAGACTGTATACGTGTACACATGTATTTACACGTGCACATAGAAAGAGTACCTATAGTTATGAGAAAATGAGATATGTTTATGAGAAAATGTTACAGAATAAAATGTGGGTGATTTTGTGAAATGTTTTGCTTATTTGCATTTTAAATTCCACCACAAATGTCCGTTGGTTGTTTAATTTTTAATAAATAAGGAGAGAGAGGAGCCTTAAAAAAAATTAAAATTTGAGTGTGGTTTCAGAACACAGCCCTTAGTGGCTTTCTGGCCATTCCCTCTGATGAAAGAAAGAGAATAATTTCTGTGATTAAGGACAAATGAGACATTGAAGATGAGGTAATCAATACTAAACCACTAGAGCGCCTTTGAAACTGGAACAACACTGTTGGTTTCCCAGACACACTGGCCTCGCTTCTAGCTCCTTCCTGTGATGTTCACGTCTTTTGTGATTCAATAAAGCTCTTCTGTTAAAGTCCAATCTCCCTTTTGCTGCTGCCCTGGAAATCAATACTGGAATTGGCTTCAGAAATCAATACCTGTTAAAATTTTAGGAGGGCTTATCCAAAATAAATCAAGAGCAAGGCATTAAAACTTTCATCTACGCCTTTTCTCAATCAAGTTGCCCCGACCCCTTGAAGATCATTGTCTTTTCCTGAAAAAACCCCATTTTGCTTCATCTCCATTGTTTTTGTGTTTTATTTCCAGCTCTGTAAATTTTATGTTGTGCACAAGTAACTTTTTTTTTTTAAGATTTTATTTATTTATTTGACAGAGAGAGATCACAAGTAGACAGGCAGGCAGAGAGAGGAAGGGAAGCAGGCTTCCTGCTGAGCAGAGAGCCCGATGCGGGGCTCGATCCCAGGACCCTGAGATCATGACCTGAGCTGAAGGCAGAGGCTTAAACCACTGAGCCACCCAGGCGTCCAGCACAAGTCACTTTTAACTGAGCTTTCTTTTTGGAGTTTGCTGATCACTGGGGGCAGGGAGTGGGGGCGATACTGGATTTTCTATGCACTTGTCTATGGACTTTGGGAACTTCCTGGAGTGTTTTCTCACCTGCCCGTCTGGGTTGTGTCTACTTCCCGCTCCCCTGAACCCCTTCTAACCAGCGCATGATGCTCGTGAGGCAACCCGCCACGTTCAACTTGAAAAGCAAAGGGTAATATTAGGTGCCTTCGGGAGAAGTAGCTAGAACTTATTATATAGGAAAAGGGGCGGGTTAAGGATGTAGGATGAATAAATTGGATATGTGTTGTTTCCAACATTTGATCTTGTGAAGTCACGGCCAAGGACTAGCTTGTTACTGTGTGAAAGAAGATGGTGGTATTTTCTCTCTGGAAACTTCCAACTGGCCAACACCCACAGGTTTGGAGAGGCCTTCGTGGCAAATCCCACTCCTCTTCCTGCCCAACACAGTCTTCTCTCTTTTGACTCTTGGTCCCAGTTCTGATCTTCGAAAGCCCCTGTGTGAGAACCACAATTAAAACAAAAGTTTTCAGGACTTTCCACACCACCCTTAGCCCTTGGAAACCTCAATGACAGTAAAAGTCTTGTAAAGGTTTACAGTGTACAACAGGACAACTGGGGGGTTGTGCCCCCATCTCAGGATGGTATAAGTAAGTATCCTTTCAAAAGTTTTGAAGTTGTCCTGCCTTTGTCTTAGAGTAAACGCCATATTCAGCAAAATGCTGATGAAATGCATACGCTGATTTTTAAAATCCGCATATCCGTGGGCATATATCCAGAGTCTTGGTCCTAAAACCCCACGAAGCCGCACCCAGTGTGCGTGTGAGTGTGTGTGCGTATGTGTGTGTATTTAAGATCTGGGTTTCTTCCGTGACTCCCTCTCGCTGCATTTGCTTGAGTGGAACCCTTGGCACTTCCAGCAGCAGGCTCCCCGGGAGCCAGGACCAGTGGTTGGACTTGTCGGCTTGAGTTTAGAGCCCAAAGCTAGGCCCGGCCGAGTACCGGCTGCGTGACCTCAGCTGTGTCCCTCTGCTCTCTGAATCCCACAAGCTCGTTATTAGAGAGGGGGTCTCACAATCTCTCAGCCCTGAGCCGCGTGCAAGAGGTAGGAAGGGGCTCAGCGCTGTGGCCGGCATTGAGTGCCTGCCCCACGACCTCCACCCCGCCACCCGCTGTTGGGTACAAATACCTAACGACTAGTTACTCCTTCTTTTGTATATTCAGAAACTGCAATCTGGGGAGAGGAAAGCCAGTGGCCCCCCGAGCAGCTGAGTTTGCCTGAGGGGAACTGGGGCGTAGAGCCCTGGAGTCCTAGCAGCCGCCTTGCCTCCTGCGTTTCTCCTGGGCGGTCCTGCAGGTGCCCTGCGTGCAGACCAGGTGCCCAGCCTGGTGCCCCGCACGTCTCCTCCTTCTGCCCCTGGAAGAGCCCGAGCCTCACCGGCGACCCGCGGCCGCCCTGCAAGCCCATCATGCTGACAGAGTGAGTGGGGTTTTCCAATCAGACTCACAGGTGTAGCTGGCTTCTGAGCACGCACACCACCCTCCCTGGCTGCCCAGAGAGGCAAGGGCACCGTCTCTGAGACACACAGCATCAACCAATGGCTGTCTCTGGCTGGGGGCCGGGATGGGCATGTGGCTCTATTAGAATCTCTGCAGCCTCTGACTCCGACCCTTCTCCTGTCCCAACAGAGACATGAAGCTCTGGCACGGCTTAGTGATTGCAGCGGTGTCCCTCATCCTACAGGCCTGCCTCTTCGCGGCCTTCGGCTACCTGCTCAGCAGGCACATGGGTAAGTGGCCTTGCATTCCCTTCCCTCCTAGCCACTTGCAGGGACCGTCCCTGAGCCTCCAGCAAGACAAGCCCCTGAACACCCCTGGAATACCTACTTGAGAATCCACTGGCCAGATCACCCCTTACTGGGTAATTCCCCACTCTGACCCGAGCTGTTTCTGGTTGGGGATGGCAGCTCACAGTCCTTCCACTATCCAGACCTTCTACCCAGAGACCAGCTCCGGCAGTGCTCTCGGGGGGCTGGGGGGGCTCATTCAGCCGGGGTCTGACTCATCTTCTTCATCACCGCCAAAGGACTCAATCGCCAAGACATGGCTCTGGGTATGACTGGACTAAGAGACTGGCTTACATTCTTGAAGTGATTCACGATGGAAAATAGAGAAGTTCTGTTCTGGGATAACATTATAATTAGGGAAAGTGAAATAAAGGCAGTCTAAAATAAAGAAAGAAAGGAAGTAAATAATGAAAGGCTTCTCAAGCCATCCATCCATCCATCCATCCTTCCATCTATCCATCTATCTATCCCTCTATCCATCCATCCATCCCTCCAGCCATCCATCCCTCCAGCCATTCGATCATTCATTACAACAGGGAACAAAACAAAATTCCCTGTCCTTCTATAACTTGCATTCATGGGGGGAACAGACAACAAACCAGATAAACAGGTAATACACACACGTGTTGGATTATGGTGAATGCTAGGAAAGAAGACGATGAAGCAAGGCAAGGAGATAGGAAAGGGATGGTGGCCAGCATTACTGACACTGACATGCCAACATTTGAGTATAAACCTCTGGAAGTGAGGGATCGAGATGCATCTGCAAAGGCCCTGAGGCAGAAGGGTGTTTGGTAGCAAACAGCAGGAGCAGAGAAGCCAAGGTGGCTGGAACTGAGAGGAACAGTGACGCCATGGAGGTCCTTGGAGGCTAGGATTTCAGCCTGTACTCTGAGCTAGGCGAGGGCTGCTGCAGGGTTTTGAATGGAGGCCTGAGGTTTGAAGAGGTCCCTCCAAATGTTTTTGCCCTATCGAGGGCAGTGCTCAGAGACAGTGTGTGCTTGCTTAATCTAGAGCTGCCACTGTTGACCCTTGCCTTGTCCCCTTAGCCAAGGAGAGTGAGCGGCTACTGAAAGGGGCCAGGCTCCAGGCCCCGAACCCCAGCCCTGCCCACCATCAGCCACTTCCTGCCAAGGAGGAGACTCCCAGCACCTCTGTGTCTGAGCCCCGTTATAGGCGTGAGTAATGGGGAGGAAGAGGCGGGGGTGGGAGGGAGCGAACTTGTCCTAAAGCTTCTTCTGCTCTGTCTGGGCCCCCAGGGAGCCGCCCTACAGTGACCCTGCTCTGTCCCCATCAGCCCAACCCTCCGCTGGAGGATTTCTTGCACCCACCTCAGGAAGGGCCTTGCCAAGCCTACCTTTTGCAGTAAGCTGCTCTTCCTATCACATGGCGCCCATCTCGCTGGGTTTGTGGGGGTCTGTTTGGTCTGGGTTTGTTTGGTCCAGTGTGAGCCACTGCAGAAGGCGTTTGGGGCTGTCTCTGTTCTGTCTCTGTAATACTATGGCGCCGGTCAGTGGGGCGGCCAAGATGTCAGCCACCTCTGCCGGCCTCTGGCCATGGGACCCGGGTGTTTTAATAAACACGAGTCTTGGTAATGGTTCAAATCCCCACCCCCCTCTGGCAAGTGAACCAACAGGGACACCACCCTTTTGCTTCCTCTCAGGGCTGGGGAGACGCACCAGGCCACCGTTCACACAGTGGAAATGGCTGCTTCTACAGCAAGACCACAGCCCCACTCTACTCACTCCCCAGAGAGCACACTGTTTCTCGTGGTTTATCGCTTGGCTGATTTGCGTTTGCTCCATCTAATTGTAGTTTTTCAGTTGGAGGGATCTGGTGGTCAGGCTTCCCCCCGGCGCTGAGATAAGAGCCTGTGGGGACCGGAAGAGAGCACTCATGTGAACTCAGTGTTTCTGTGGGAGGGGAGGGGCCCTGGTGTCGATGGGACCCTGGTCCGAGGGCTTCACCGGAGCCCTGGCCAGAGACTCAACGATGCTTTGGTTCTCAGGGACCTGGGAGGTGTCATCCAACCCTCTTGCTTCACGGGGAGCAAAACCAGACACAAAGAGGATGTCACCTGCCTAGAGCTAGTGGCGGGTCTAGATCAAAGCCTGTGCGGGTGAGGTCACTGTGGAGGCCGAGCTGTTTGCTAGGGGCTGCGCTGTGTCTGTGTGTCTCTGCTTGCCCCTCCTGACACAGCCCAGCCCTGGGGGATCAGCTTCTGGTTTTAGATGGAGCTGGACAGAGCAGTGGCGCCGGGACTCTTAGGTGCATTCCTGACTATTTTGGGGGTCCTTCCCCCCCCCACCTTTCTTCAATTCCTTTTTTCTCTTTTGGGGAGGCTCTGTATTTCTCTTCCCCACTTGGCTTTGCGAGGCTGGCTCTGCCTGTCTTTGTTTCCTTCTCCCTTCCATTGTGTCCATCCCCTCCTAACACCCCCTGGCTCTCCTTGGAAGAACAGTTTCCATTTCTCCCTAGACGGCAGCGGCACATCCTCGGGTAGCTCTGACAGCGTGGACAGCTCGGGTAGCTTGTCTCCAGCCTGCCAGGTAACAGACACCCCTAGCGAGCCCCGCCTGTCGTATGCCACTGGGGTCCTTGCTGCACAAGTCTTAGCGCCACCCAGGCTGCCCCAGCTACAGAGATGGGAGCAGGGAAGGCAGGCTTCTTGAATCTTTACAGCATCCTTAGGGGATGGGCAGGGGTGGGGGCAGGCTTACGGCAACACAGATCATCCCCACAAAAGGGGGTCTGAGCGGGTTGTAAAAAGGCAAGTGTCAAGGGGTCATCTCCTCCTCCCCGTACCCCAGTCACTGAGCCAAAGTCCCCTTTGAGTCCTGACCTCACTGGGATTCAGTCCCCACATCTTTCCTTAAACCCATGAATCCCCTACAGACAGGAAGCACCAGGCAGTCTTCCCCATCTCCCCCTTCCCTGCTCTCCAACTGGGCGCCTGGGAGCTGGCTACTTTCCCTTCCCCCTTGAGTGGGGGGGAACCACGCCTCCTTGAGTGGGAGTTCTGTCCTGGGGTTCCCCCCTCCTCTGACCCTTGTAGGAATCTTGACCCCCATGCCTCTGCTTTTTCTCCCCTCTAAGGCCATGAAGAATATGAATTACGCACAAGTGGTCTTTTCTGCCACCAAAGAACTAAAAAATGAATCTTCCCTGGACTATGAAAACATCAAGGAAACCACAGATTATGTGAACGTCAATCCAAAAAGCCACAAACCCAATTTCTGGACTTTCGCAAAGCCTGCTGACTCTGAGCCGGTGGAGTACACGCAGGTGGCCCCACTGTGAGGTCTAGGTCTTTAAGGGGGTGCTGTTCTCCAGAAATTCTCACACTCACCTTGTAGGGGAATGACTTTTTTTAGCTCACTCAGCAAGAAAGAGTCAGATCAGCTATCAATCAGGAAGAACTTCCACGATCAGTATGAACGAGGGGAGATATCAGTAGAGAAAGCAGGAACGTCTTTCTCCATAGAAAATTGTGAAAAAAAATTTTAATCAAATGTAGTGGAGTTCTGTTTGGCAATCTTACCATTAAATGACTCTTGGAGCTCTTTAATGTTTGGCAACAAGCAACTTCCTTAAAAGTTTTAAATAAAATGGCAACCCCACGTCTTGGTTTCCTCTTGCCCAACCCGGCATGCTGCCCCCTTCCAGAGCTGCATCTTGCTGAGTCGTGCTGCCCTGCCCTCAGCACTTTAAGTAGGTCTCTTAAAAAGCTCCCCATCATTCAACCTTTGAATTCCCCGTTTCTTAGGAACGAAAGCTGACAGGGCCCTGGTAAATACCAACTAGCAGCCCAATCTGTGATTCCAGGGGACAAAAAAATCTCCCCCAATTCAACCCAATAAAGTGCAATCTTCTTTTCTGGTTTGTTGTTTGTTTGTATTAAAACAATGAGGAATAAAAGGGCACTTTCTTAACTGCATGGAGCCCAGCTTGTCTCAAAATCAGCTGACGCTGTGGTATTTATGGGTAAGGGCCTAGACACAATTTGACTGAATCATGAATGGAGTAAAAGTGTCCACAAGCCTGTCATTTCTTTCCTCGGACACTGCCCTAGAAGTTCTCATCGGTGAAACAGAAGAGTCGACAAAAATAAGGACTGTCCCTGTTAGAAAGGAGGATAAAATTCGTCATCGTTTGTAGCTACCCTTCTCCTACAAAACCTCAGAGGATTTACTTAACATATTTTAAAATTGATGATGAGATACACATACAATATACTTTTTCCAACAGGCAGTTAAGACACGAAGTGAAAAAATTTTTTTTTTGCTCACAACAGTCCACTCAAACAGTGGACGCCCCAGGACCTTCCCTAGCCAAATTCAAACCCCAGAGGAGGGGCATGCAGGACTTTGAGAGGACTCTACCTTTACCTGTGCTCCACCTGCTGGCTGCAAATGACCCTTTGCGTCCCGGTACTGAGAGTAGTGGGCACCTTTCATCTTCCCAGGCTCCTCGTCCCCAAGATGATCTGAAGACCGGGTTCTGGTTTGCGTTTCTGGGGCTGCGCAGTTCTTCCTGTCCACGCATCCCTTCACCTCTTGGCTCTCATTGTGGTTCCTCTCCCGCTCCAATTCGGATGTCTGTGCCCCCTTAAATTCCTATGTTGACATCCTAACCCCTACGGTGGTGGCATTAAGGGTGAGGCCTCTGGGTGTCATTAGGTGGGGATGGTGGTGCTCTCCTGGATGGAATTAGTGCTTTTGTCAAAAAAGACCCCGCAGAACTCCTTAGCTCCTTTCGCTTTGTGAGAATACAACGCACGTGATGTCTTCCACCCAGAAGACGGTCCTCACTCTAGCTCACTGACACCCTGATTTTGGACTTCCAGCCTCCAAAGCTGAGACAAAGAAAGTTCTGTTCTTTATAAGCCCCCCGGTTTGTGGCATTTTGTTATGGTAACCGGAATGGACGAAGACACCTGCTTAGAGAGCTTCTCTTAGTGGGAAAAAGAATTTTTATTGATCAGAGGGGCAGAATGAGGAAGAAACACCAACAACGTCACCACCAGCAACACTGTCTTTGTATCTAAAACTGGAACTCCACTTCTTATTGATCTCTTTTTTAAAAAGAAAAAAAAAAAAGAATTTAAAGGTGTGCTGCAGTGTTTCAGATGAGTTATCATACAGCCAAGGAAGGCTGGGCAGGCCCACCGTGGAGACAGGTCCCACACCAGGAGAGGGGACAATTGAAATAGTGCAGGTAGAGGGCCTCCTTTCTGCAGGACTCTGGAAGGGCCCCGGAATCCAGAGAACCGCACATTAAAAGAACACTTGAACATCTGGGTGGGTGAGGTCAAGGCACTTAGACCCAGCTGTGGGGACAGGCAAGAGCTTGTACCAAACGTGTGACAGAAGGAAATGAACACAGAGCAATGAAAACAGACCTTATAAATGTTTGGGCAGATTGGGTATGGAATGTTGAGATCAGACATCGTCAGCGAAAATATTCCAGAGAAGGGTGACTTCTGACCTCAGTTTAGAGTGAAGGCTGAAAAGTCAGTCAATGGAAGGGAGAAGAGACAGAAGGAAAGGGAGCAGGCCTGCCCAGCGCAGGCTCTCCATTAATGCTCCAGGAACTGACCGGTCCTGAACCACAGGAGTCTGTGCCGGGGCCCCCTGGAGCGGGGAGCTGATACCGGAGAGCACAGACATCTGAATGCCACCGACCATCTGATTAAGGTCTGTAAGGAGCTCTGTTATGACTGGCTTCCAAGGTATGATACTTGTAGCAAATAAATATATCCTGGAGGTTAATTAGCCCCCGCCCCCATTGCTGGTCCATTCTAGGAGGGTCCTGTCTCTAACTAGGGTGGAACGTGAGACTGCCCAGTAACTAACGGAGACTGGTGCCCATCGATGGTGCAGATGACTTCTCAGATGCCCTGATAAGGGAAGAGGAGGGCTGATTTCCCATCCTAAGGAGTCTGGGCCAACAAGCTGATGGCTGAGGCCAGCTAACAATGTGAAGTGACCCGTAAGTTCATTGCTAACCATGTTGCTGGAAATACAGCATCCTTTTTACCTCCGTGAACTTGGAAGGTCAGCTGTGTAAATCTGTACAAACAGTTGCTTGTATGAGTAATCACCTTTTGAGGAGCTCAGTGTTCAGCAAAACGAAGTCACTTTCTCCCATGTCATACACTAGCCATCGGGACGTCCAAGAACGACCGTACCGCCCCACTCTGGATTCCCCCGTGAGTGTGGACTGAATTAAAAATCTCTTCAACTTTATCTTACAAGATACAGAGAAACTGATCTGCTACTGGCAATGAGTGGTTGATGACATGCCAGTTATGAACTGGGACTCTCTAGTGGACCAGAATTAACATGACCTGTCATCAACAGAGTCTTGGTCTAACGGAGCTAGCATCCTAATACCCACTACAACCACAGGCGAACTCCATGAGCGATGCTGTGTTACTGGCCAACAAGACCCACTAGGGTGAGGAGGTGTTTTATGCCCACCGTCAGTGGGCTCTTTGCTCCTGGGATCAGGATGCATTTCTGGGCCCAGGGGGCTCTCAAAAGGCCTCCTACCCCAAGCCCCAGCTTCTAAACTGAGCACATTATAATAACTTCAGATCCTCTGTGTTTTTGAGGTCCATTCGCTCTCTCAAACACTCATCTTTTCAGGCAACAGTCTCTATACTCAGTCCCTCCCGTTGCCCTTGTTCTTCATCCTTTCTTTTTGTTGTTGTTGTTTTTTAGAAGATTTTATTTATTTATTTATTTATTTATTTATTTATTTAAGAGAGAGAGAGAGCGAGCATGAAAAAAGGAGAGAGGTCAGCGGGAGAAGCAGAATCCCGGCTGAGCAGGGAGCCCTATGTCGGCCTCCATGTCAGACTTGATCCCAGGACTCCAGGATCATGCCCTGAGCCAAAGGCAGTCGCTTAACCAACCGAGCCACCCAGGCGCCCTTCTTTGTCCTTTCTTGACAGATACATCCTCCATGAGCTCAGACAGAGAAAAGCATGTGTCCAGGTTCCCTCCGGAGAACTGGGTCAAATGGAGGAGACAAAACTGCAGAACTTGTAGGGAAAGGTAGCGGGTATGAGAGCAGAGAGGCCCACTTCCCTGTGAGTCTTGTCAGCTTCGGACTCACTTTCAGCTCCATACTGCCACCTTGTGACCTACAGAGCAAATCCCAGGACACCCTTGTTTTCCTCTTAAGTGGGTGAAGATCCCTCACCCCCTCAAACTCTCTTCCCCATCGCCACCCCACTCCAGGGGAGCAAATCTTATTTCAGCTTGAATATCCCATTGTCCCTGCTCCTAGGAAACAAACACGCCCGGAAACATCCTGGTTATGGAGTTTCATGGTCCAATTGTAACCCCATCTCCAGATACCTGAGCCAGGAGCAAGCTACTGCAGCCTAGGCTGAGTTTAGAGCCCCTTGATAAACAAAAGACCCATTTACAAAACACAGACCTGGACATCTGGAAACTCACTGGCCTATACCAAGCAGCATAAAAAACCATTCTGAGAAACCTTCAGTCAACCAATTCCCTCTTGCCATTCTCCGCCCTGCCCACCCCTTACCCCCCTGCTCCTGTGCAGGTTCTCTGGGACTGAGCACTGTACTCCAGAGTCCACAGGATGGCATAAACACTTCACCAAAGTGCCCAGCCCAGAGACAGTATGGTTCTCTCTTTCCCGGGGTTTGCTGTCAAAGTGAGACTAACCCCAGACGACAGAGACCCTCTTTCATGATTCCCATAGGAGGTTACTCACCAGGAGCAATCTGGAGCCGGCCATCATTATCTCCCCTGTAGAGTGTTCTACGGTCTACTGTCTTACAGCCCACCCCCGCCCCAAAGGTAGGCATTGTTGTTTCTAGTTGATACGGAACCCGTGGCTCAGAGAGATTTGAGGACTTGCCCAAGATCATACAGATAGAAGAGGGACAAGAGCAGGACTCGAACCCAGGTCTTTGGAGTACAAAGGTGGTGTCCCTCCTACCTCCCAGTCATCACGGTGAGCAACAGTTTACCCGGTACTGACTTGGGCATGAGGGACCGGACCTGTGGTGTGAGGGTGGTGGGTGGCTTACACACACAGGCAGGAGAAACTTCTGCCCCGCTTGCTGGTGTGGGAGGCTCCTAAGCCCAGCTCCACCAGGACAGTTGGACAAGGAAGAAGAGGTTGGGTGTCAGGGACTGACATGGGTGACAGAACGTGGTGAAGAGAGACTGTGGGCCCTCACCTCTGCCTTGAGCCTTGGTCTCATTAGGGTCTAGGTCCCACTGCCCGGTTGTTTAGTACTGAAGGCTAGGGACACTTTGCTCACTTACAAGACTCAGTTCAGGCTCTTTTTACAGAAGCCGAAGGAAGCTTCTCAGAGCTGAGAGACCTCTTAAAGCTCAAAGTTAC